TTCCAAAAAGAAAAAAAATAATCCAATTGCATATGCCTAATCGATTAAAAATAACATTCATGAATTATAAAGGAGCCTAAAATGCTCAACCCAGCTTAATGTAATACACAACATTCTCACAAATATTGACAAAAATACAACCGGAAGTGTTTATTTTTCTTTCTCTCTCAGCTTTTCATATCAGCTGGAATTGAAACATTCCCAGTCGGTCCCGGCGAGCTTCAGTGCGGTGCGTCTGCTGCCGGGTTGGTTCTACGGGGGCAGCTCCACAGTCCTGGATGCCATGCTGCGATTGGACCAGTACCAGCGCCAACTCCTGCCGGGCCTTTTCTGTGTCAATCTGGACCTTCGAGGGTCTTTCACCACCAGTTCGGCTCACCCCAGTGCCTCCAGCTCCCTGAGCCACCAAGACGCAATAGAGGGTCTCACCATGCGTCCCATCGGAGCCCCGAACACCAGCCTGCTCCCTTAACCACGGGGCCTGACAGACCATTATATCCCACAATGCACTGTGGACTTTGAGGTGAACATTTCAGTGTCTGATGGTCAGCAGAAAGAAAACAAATGCTTTGCAAATCTTTGTGAGAAGTTTGATTCTGTCTCACAGTTGAAAAAGGAGGTTTTGAGAATTACAATTAAGAAAATGTCAAAGAAATGCAAAAAGAAAACACAGCCGGAGAATGTATTTAAAAGATATTCTGCACTTCATGAAATGTTCTTGGTTCAAGACAATTTAAGCATTTTTGGCATACTGTCCATTACCACAGGGAAAAAAAAGAAAACAATTATATGTATGTACTGTATATATGAAGAGTTCAGATGCAAAAGCCTCTAAGTGCCATCTGAAATTTTCATCTAAAATGAGCATTTTTATCAGACTCCTATGTTTAGGTTATATATATACCTTACACACACACACACACACACACTTTGTATTATAGTATATTTATATATTATATATACTATATATATATACAAACAATTAATATATGTATATATGTATGTATGTATGTGTATATATCTCTTTTGCATGACATGCAAGGAAAGGAATTTTTATTAAGATGGGGCAAAACCCACTTACACATGAATCATGTCAGTAATATTGCATAACCAGAAGTTCATCCACCTAGAAAACCGGTCTCTCCTCAAAAACATCCTTTACAGCTTAAATAATAAACTTTTTGATGAATAATTCATGTAAGTGCATTAACAAAAATACAAGCTTCACATTTTTTGCTTACTTCTATCTTAAGTGCATTACTGTATTTCTAAAGAACAGGACAAAAATTGAGCTAAATCTGTATTGAACCGAGAACATTCTTTAAAGACGGAACAGAAAGAAACGGAATTTCTCTCAGAATGTACTTGAATGTGTCTCGCGTGTCTTGGTTCATCAGTATTTGTGTTTTGAAGGCACCTCAGCATAGTTTCAAACCTGAAAAAGTAAAGTGATCTGAGGCTGTTTCTGAAGGGTTATGCATGCAGACTGGTCCAAAGCAAACCATGTGACCATATGCCCTGGCAATGCAACATCAATGCTGCTACTGTACTGTACTGTACTGTCATGTGTTTATGTCTAAAGCATATTTGTTGCTACTTTTTGTACTTGTTGTAAATGCACCTTCTTGGTTTTTTTCTTGTTTGAAATGGTTGCCAGCCACAGATTAAGGTTAGTGCTGGACTAAACTAATCTGTTAATCTATTGTAAATGCTTCAAAATCTGGGATTTGGCTTTAAGTGTGAGCCACACAGTAAAAGACACCTCCTAATCTGCATTTCTGCTCAGTTACAGTATTCTAATATGAATGTTTAACAGACCCAATAAAGTTTTGACTTAGAATTCAACTGTATTTATGATTTATTGAATATGTATTCTCTTAAATTTATTGAATATGTATTATTTATTTATTTTTTGTTGCTATAAATGGTTGCTTATGCTATAGGTTGTTTTGAACCTTAAAGGTTCTACAACCAAAAGGAACGTTATAAGGTTCTGCTTTGCCTTTTTTGGCCTTTATTTTTAGGTGTTGGTTACTTTTAGTTTTATATTTTCCAATGCTGTTCCAAACTGTATGTGTCTGGGGAACCTTTGCAAACATCTCTTGACTTTTACAGCGCTGCTTTAATAGGAAGGCGATCCGCTATCCATACGCCACAGCCCCGACTGATCGTCAAATTCACGTGCGTGGGAGTTACTGCGTCATCACGGCCCTGCGTTTCTATTGGCTGATGAAGTTGCGCCCGACTCCACCGCTCCGCGCTTCTTCTTTTCGCGCCCGGCAGAGGGCGCCTCTCCTCATCTCTCTCCTCTCTGATTCCTTGTAGTGAATCGGTTCATTCGAACGATTCGTTTCAGTGGACACTCCAGTTCTCCAGTTGCGCTATTGCTGAGCGTTTTTTGTTGTAAAATCACTGTTTTCGATTACTGATATATGTCACCCTGAACCACAAAACCAGTCATAAGAGTCAATTTTTTTAAATGGAGATGTATACATCATCTGAATGCTGAATAAGTAAGCTTTCCATTGATGTATGGTTTGTTAGGATATGACAATATTTGGCCCTGGCTATTGCTACAAATATACCCGTGCTGTTTATGACTGCTTTTGTGCTCCAGGGTCACATTATTATGTCGTTAACACGATTATTAAACTCTATTATTCAGTAATTTTAATGGAGGCGACTTTTATACGGGTTTATTGTAGTACAGATTGGACTGAACTGAAAAAAAAAAAAAAAACGAAAAACAATTTTTTCGTTTTTTGACTATTCAGTATAGTTGATGATCGATAAGAAACTGATAATGGGTATTTGTGACCCTGGAGCACAAAATCAGTCATAAGCAGCCCGGGTATATTTGTAACAATAGCCAACAATACACTGAATGGGTCAAAATTATCGATTTTTCTTTTATGCCAAAAATCATTAGGATATTAAGTAAAGATCATGTTCCATGAAGATATTTTGTAAATTTCCTACCAATATATCAGTGATGTATAAATAGCAATTTCAAAAAAATGACCCTTATAACTGGTTTTGTGGTCCTGGGGAACATTTATGTTTTGTCGAACCTCCTCAGCGATTGATTCACAAACCCGAATCAGTTCGAGTGAATCATTTCAAAGAATCGGCTCAAACGAACAATTCGTACGTGAATCGCACATCACTTGTCTGATGCACTGAAACTCCCCGGGAGAGACCGAGGGAGGAAGATGGCGGCCACTGACCGTTCCCGGTCCGAAGCGGCAAAGCAGCGGCGGCAGGATCAGCTGCAGCGGTGGCGGGGCTCGGAGACGGATCGGACCGGGGCGGAGGCAAGGAGCCTGTGCTCCGCTCCCGGAAACCGACGGGCCAGAGTGCGCTTCGCCCAGGGCGCTGTGTTCATGGCCGCCTGCTCCGCCGGGGACCGGGAGGAGGTGGCGGAGCTCCTGCGACAGGGTGCAGATATCAACCACGCCAATATAGACGGGCTGACGGCGCTGCATCAGGTACCCGGAGCATGTTTGCTTGTTCACACTGAAGTTTGACTCGGTTTGGAAACTTTTGCCAAAGTTCACAAACTTTTCTCCTGTGGGTCGAGGTCAAGCAAGGATGTCTAGATGGTAAACAGGAGAAAACTCTTAAACACCTAGTTTATATCTGCCAGAAATGTTATCTTTGTGTTCATTTTTTCATACGTTTTTGGAAAAAAAAATTATACCGCTTTATACAAAAAATATGACGTTTAATAATGTCAATGATGGAAGCATCAAGTAAAAAGTAGTGAAATACTAAATACGTGGATGTGTACAGTTTAATTATTGTTTTTAACCATATCTGAGTCAAATTATAAGTACTTTTTAAAGGTTACTCAATTTGACCCAAACAAAAGATGGCTTTTCATAAAGAAATTATAATATGTGATATTATTAAAAACTTAAGCGAATAGGGTCTAAAGGGGTCTTCTGTGTTTTAGGGGTTTGTTGTCACGCCTTCCTGCATGTTTGTTATGCCACACCGACTTCGATTTGGCAGACAAATGTTTTCACATATTAATTGTATTTTGAAACAAAATTGGTGCTTATTTTTAATGACGTAACATAAAAAATTAATCCAACTACTTCTGCCAACGTTTTTTTGTTTTCATTTAAAACGACATTTTTCTTCGACCATTTACACTACCGAGACAATTGTGACTTTTTACCTCACACTTCTGAGTTTCTCACAATTAATATAAAATATATACTCCCAATTCTTAGATGAAAAATCGGATTTGTGAGATAAAAAGTCATAGTTACCTTAAAAAAAATTTTTTTTTTAAAGAGATAAGGAAACAAAAAAAAAACAGAATTGTGAGATTTAATCTCAGAATTCAGAGAAAGAATCAGAATTGTGAGATAAACTTGGAATTGTAAGATGTAAATGCAGAGTTACAAAAAAAAAAGTTAGAATTCTGAATTTTTTTCTGAAATTCTGAGTTTTTTCCCCCAGAATTCTGAGTTTGCATTTCGTAATTCTGTGTTTAAGTTGCAGTTATCTTATTTTTATTGATTTATTCCCTGGCAGAAACAGACTTTCATACTGTACATTTTTGACGTAAAGCTGCACAAAAAATAACAAAATTACTTAAATTCACAAATAAAAACATATTAATTGTAGAAAAGGTGTATTCGAGCAAATTTTTGTATAATTCTTAATGTATTAAGAAATGAGCATCATTGACCTCTATATAATATATCAAACATTCTATAAAGTATTATTTGGTTTAACTAGTTCATTATAACAGACGTATTAAATAGGGATGCTCCGATCCGCCTTTTTCGCCTCCGATACCGATTCCGATACCTAGGGTTCGGTATTGGCCGATACCGATCCGATACCAGTGAAGTTTTTTTCCCTCATTTAAATAAATGTAGAATTTATATATCTCTGTGTGTGGAACTGATAATCTAAAGTGGCGATTTAAACCTAAAGTGACTTTGAAACTCAGTTGCAAACTGTACAAACTTTTAAATGCCCAAAGTCTAGAATCGCATTGGCTGTTTTAGGCCTGAAGTCTGATATTTTGACGTGTGTGTACTATTATAATATGACAAACTGTATTTCCAGGACATATTTAGTTTTAGTGGTCTTGTTGTTGGGTTGTCTTGCTGGCGTGGTTTTGCTTCTGGACTGGACTAGTTGTGTTCCTCTGGCGCAGATGAATCTGGACTCTCTGTGTAGTTGTTTGCAAGATGTTCTTGCAGTACCAGGGTTGCTGTTGTTGTTTTAATGCCGTCCAGGGAGTGTCTTGGGCCCGTCCCGAGTCACGTTTAATGTGGCGACTCCACCGTACCAGCATCCAGACTGAACTGGCATAGCAAGACTTTCCTCATATCTTCTGAGCTGGATCAGAGAATGGCTGGAATTCACGCCGGCCCTTTTCATTCGCTGTTTGTTTTTGTTTTGTTCTTTTTTTTTTCTTTTTCTCTAAGCTGTGTATGTTTTTTTTTTAAATGACATGTTTAGGAGGGGTTATTTTTGACTTTTGTTGTCTCAGCCTTTTGTTCCGACAGTAAAGTTTTCTTCAGAAACCAGCTAATCCTGATATAGAGCTTTGAATGAGAAAAAACCTGTTTTTTTGTTGAAAAATGATAGTATGTTTGAGGTAATTGTTATGTCTGCTTGAATCTATTATCACAAGCTTCTGTTGAAGAGAGCCACTCAAAAAACAGCAGAAGGTTTTGCTCAACTCCACTCTAGGCTTGAAAAAATATGAAGTGCACGCTTTTTTGATTCAGACAGGTGGTCATGTGGTTACATAGCGAGAGCAGCTATTGGCTGGCGCTCTGCTGATGTTTGATTGAAGTTTCTGAAGTTCTGTGGAACAGCGGCTTTGAGTCTCACATGAGCTCTTCAAAGTGAATGTAGTCACCTGTGTACCAATCATTCTCTAATCTATCGTAACCAGGAACAAGTCATATTTCTATGGAAGCCTGTTTCTGCCACAGGATATAAAAATAAAAAAATGATGATTTTTTTTTTAAATCTCACAATGAGAATAGAATTGTAAGATATATTTTTCTCCCAATTCTGAGTTTACATCTTGCAGTTTCTGACTTTTTTTTTTTTTTTCAGAATTCTTACTTTATATCTCAGAATTGTGAGATATAAACTTAAAAACTTTACTCAGTTGTAAGTCGCTTTGGATAAAAGCGTCTACTAAATGACTAAATGTAAAATTGTAAGGAAATTAAGTCTAAGTTGTAAGTTAAAGGTTGCAGTTACATTCATTCATTCACTCACAAACAAGCTTCCATATATTTCACCCCAAAATAGAACGGAATTATATTTTTCAAATGGTTTGCTATACATACACAAACACACACAAATATAAATATACAAATACAAATGTGTTAGTTAAATTATATCAATTGAGTCTTTCTTTTTTTTTGGACCTTTAGGATTTTTAGCATTATTTTTATGACAGTTAAACACATTTTCCTCTCAAATTTCTCTTTCCGTAGTGCAAGAAAAAAAATGGATACATTTATTTATGTTGTAAAGAATTGATACATCATGATAGTCTATATTGTATTGCATTTAATTTGATATTTATTTTATAAAAACGTTGGAAATGAATTACAATGATTTTAACAATGAATTGTAAAATAGTTTTATTTTTATTTGTAATATATAATTAATGTGCTATCTAAAAATAGGCTATTTATATGTATGTATAAATTAAATTAAGAAATAATTAAGAAATAAATAATGAATTATTACTAATTAAACATTAAAATACTTAAGGTTTTTATATCTAATTTATATATATATATATATATATATATATCTTGGTATTCTTATTTATATTCACATTGTATTTTTGTATTGTACATTCCAGTTTTATTTTAGTATCATTATAGTGCTCCTTAATATTTTGGATCAGTTTTTATCATTTTCATTTTAGTTTTAGTAATTTTGTTGTGTTTTTAATTTTTAGTAGTTTAAAAAATATATATATTTATGTCTATATAGTTTTTATTCATTTTTAATGCAGTTATTTTAGTAAATAAAAAATAAAAACTTTAAAAAAAAGTAAAAATAAAGTTTTTAAAATATTTTATTTCAGTTAACATTTTTATTTTATTTCATGTAATGAAAATGGTTTTAGTTAACTATAATTACCCTAGTACATTAATATTAATGTTTATATCTTGTATTTATTTTAATAATCATTGCGTGTGTGATGATGCTTTGTCGCTGCTCATCCCGATCTCGGTCCTGTTGTCCCGTTGTTGCTCGGTAACAGGAATGAAATATAGTCAGTGTTCTTTAAGTTTTTCCATGCCTTCCATCCAAAGGCTTTCTCTCTCTGTCGTTCTCCAGTGAGCGCATGGAAAACATTCTTCATGCTCTCTGAGTCATACACACACACACACACACACACACACACACACAAACACACACTCATTCAGTGACCCCGTCAAGAACTTCACACCTTCTCCATACAGAAGGTTCCCAGTGTTCCTCAGAAACCTACACAAACACACACAATGAGGAAGGGGTCAGGAACAGAGCGGCCTTCTGTTCTGCTGCACACAGAGAGCAGAGCGAGCGCAGCATATGTGGAGATTTCTATAGGCACTCCTCTGGGAGCCGCTCGCTTTGGCTGTTAAGCCTTTTTCCCCCGTCATGCCTAAAAACACACGTTTTATCAGTGGTAAAATCACTGTAACATGTGGCCTGTCTGCTGTTTGCAGTAGCATAATGTCTGCGGATTCTTAGATATTTAAACTAGCTAAACAATGTACAAGCTGCACTACAATGTACTAACAAGCATTTTCTACGTTTTTTAGTTACGTAGATATCATTAGATATGATAGCTATATAAATAAAAATATAATTAAAAAGTGGCCTCTTAAATAGCTTGATGGCTACTTATTGTTAGTGACTTTATATTTATACACTACCGTTTAAAAGTTTGCGGTTGGTAAGAATTTTTTAAGTTTTTAAAAGAAGTTTCTTCTGCTCATTAAGGCTGCATTTATGTGCTCAAAAATCCAGTAAAAACAGTAATATTGTGAAATATTATTACAGTTTAAAATAGCTGTTTTCTATGCGAATATATTTTAAAATGTAATTTACTTCTGTGATCAAAGCTGAATTTTCAGCATCATTACTCCAGGCTTCAGTGTCGCATGATCCTTCAGAAATCATTCTGATATGCTGATTTGCTGCTCAAGAAACATTTCTTATTAATATAAATGTTGAAAATAGCTGATTAATATTTTTGTGGAAACAGTGATACAAGGTTTTTCCCACCAAAATAACTGCATTTATTTGAATCTTTTGTTATTTTATGAATGTCTTTACTATCACATTTGATCAATTTAATAAGAATAAAAGTATTAATTCCTTCCTGAATAAAAGTATTAATTTTGAAAAAATCTAACATTAGAATTATATGTAATTATATGGTTATATGTATTTCTTTCTTTATTAATTTACCTTACATTACTTATTTAACTTACTGACTTACTTTATTTACTTTACTTAGTTACTTAATAAATTCAACTTACTTTACTTACTGACTCTGGTCAGGTTGACCGTTCAATTATTTACTTTGCTTAGTTACATTACTTACTAATTCAGGTCATGTTGAACATTCAGTTACTCACTTTACTTAGTTACTTTACTTGATTACTTTACTTACTAATTAAGGTCACTTACTTAATTCACTTAATTAGTCACTTACTTTACTTATTTACTTTACTTACTAACTCGGGTCATATAATTACTTAATTTACTTACTTAGTCACTTACTTTAACTTAATTTACTTAGTTACTTTACTTACCATACCACTTGACTTACTAACTCAGGTCTGGTTGGGTCTTAGATACTTAGGTACTTACTTTACTTACTAAGGTCAGGTTGACCATTCAGTTACTCACTTTACTTAGTTACTTTACTTGATTACTTGACTTACTAATTAAGGTCACTTACTTAATTCACTTAATTACTCACTTACTTTACTTATTTGCTTTACTTACTAACTCAGGTCATATAATTACTTAATTTACTTACTTAGTCACTTACTTTAACTTAATTTACTTAGTTACTTTACTTACCATACTACTTGACTTACTAACTCAGGTCTGGTTGGGTCTTAGATACTTAGATACTTACTAAGGTCAGGTTGACCATTCGATTACTCACTTTACTTGGTTACTTAGGTACTTTATTTACTTTACTAACTCAGGTCAGTTACTTAAGTTACTTACTTAGTCACTTACTTTACTCAGTTTACAGTTACTTTCTTTACTTAGTTACTTTACTTTCTAACTAGAGTCAGTTTATCGTTCAATTACTTAATTTTCTTACTTAGTCACTTACTTTACTTACCTTACTTAGTTGCTTTACTTACTAACTCAGGTTAGGTTGACCATTCAATTACTCACTTTACTCTGTTACTTTACTTATCTTAGTTACTTAACTTACTAACTCAGGTCAGGTTGACCAATCAGTTACTCACTTTACTCTGTTACTTTACTTATCTTAGTTACTTTACTTACTAACTCTTTAATTTTCACAGTCACTTACTTTACTTAGTTATTTACTTACCTTACTTAGTTACTTTACTTACTAACTCAGGTCAGTTTACCGTCCAGTTATCAAACTTGAACAGAAAAAATTGCACTAACAATCTAAACAACTTCATTTGTTTTATAAAACTTTATGTAACTATATTTATAATCAGCAGCAGAGTTGGTGGACTTGGACTCGGACTGCAATTAAGAATAAACTCGGACTCGGTTGAACTTTTACTCGAACTTGACATGAATTCGGACATTTTGGACTCAAGAACTTTTCTGAGTGCAGACGAATCCATGTCACATGTAACATGAAAGATAAATAAGTAAATAAGTAACAACATAAAATTATAATAAAAAGACATTAATAAATGTCTCCCATACTGAATTGGTTTAGGACTAGGACTCTATTCGGACTCGACAATGTGAACTCAGACCGAACATTAATCAGCAGTACTTGACAATCAGTATTCATTGTGCATTAAGTTATGAATTGAATAAATCAGTGAATCTTTTTTATTATTCATTGAAATGAACTGTTTTGTTAATTCAGTCAAAACTGACAGTGTGTACACTCATTACCTCATTAGCTTTCTTTGATGTTATAAAGTGGTGTTGTAGTGTTCAGTCATGCTACACTGCTGCCGACAAAATAGCTTGTTATTGGAAAAGCTACAGTTTTTAAAAAAACACATGAGCTATTGTTAAAATGCAGTTGAGTTAGTAATGCTGCTGCTTTTAGGATGTTACTCCTCAACACATGTTACAACCTGCACATGTACAGTATGTGTACAGTAACACATCCATCATGTAAACGCTTCGCTGACTAATTATTGTTTTGCCTGCAGCCAGCGGCAGCTGTGTCGGACTGAAACTCTAGGGACATGAAAACACAGATTTCCCATGATGCAACACGACACTGGCACCAGCAGTGTTGTAAAGATGATGTCAGTAGGAATGTCATGATGATTGTCAGTAGAGTTATTCAGGCTGAGCGCTCCGCTGATAAGAGTCATGCATCACTTTGTGTTCATTCATTTACATGCTATGTGTGTGTAATTGAAGATCAAAGGTTAAGGGCAGTGTCTTACGCTTGAAAAATACATGTACAGACTTAATGACTAATGATTTATTAGTAGAGATGCATTAAGGCTGTTATACTAAAACAATACAAAAAAAATTTGTTACTTAAAATAAATATATAAAAAAACCTTAAACATAGCTAGTTGCCATTTTCATTTAGTTTAACTTGATGTACTAAAATGACTAAAATACAAATTAATTAAATTATATAGACATAATTATAAACAACTAAATATTCAAACTTTAAATAAATGAAAAAGAAAATGGACAATATAAAAATAAAAAATAATGCAAAATATTAATAAAAATAGTAACTCGGTGGTACTAAAATGCACAATGGGATGCACAATATATAAATATCAGCTGATATTAGCATTAATTAAATATTGTTATTGGTGTGATTATAAGCATGATACTTTTCATTATTTTTATTAAAAATTTTAAATTATTTTTAATATTATGTTTCTGAACTGTGTGTGTGTTTGAGCCAGTGTTGTTTTAATATCATTAATATACTATTATAGTTTTTGCTCATATTTTAAATTGTTTTCATTTTAATTTTAGTTAAAATTTTAGTGGTTTTGTTAGTAAATTAGCTTTTTTTAATATGCATATATAGTTTTTAGTTATTTAAATACTTCAACTTGAAGTATGAAATGAGAAATGTATGCCTTGGCAACTAACTGAAATAAAATAATTGTTTTATATATTTTAATTTATTTCAATTAATGTTTATTTATTTTCAAGTATTGAGATTTTTTTTTATGGTGTTAGTTTTAGTTAACGACAATAGCCCTGTTCTAAACAATAAACATTTTAATCATATTGATCATCAGCCATAACATAAAATTTCTACATTTTTACATTTTCAGAAGAGAATCTGAGTTTTGGTCAGAATGACTATATTAGAAAATTTCTCTTTGTTATTATGCAGGTTTATGTTGATTAAACACATTTTCTGGTTCTCTCCTCAGGCCTGTATTGATGAAAACGCAGATATGGTTGAGTTTCTGGTGGAGAGCGGCAGTGACGTGAGCCGAGGAGACAATGAAGGCTGGACGCCCCTCCACGCCGCGGCCTCCTGCGGCTTCATCCAGATCGCAAAGTCAGTAACGCAGTTCCACAATCTAGTGAGCTGCCTACCTAGACGACATGCTGCTGCCTTCTTAGATGCCTTGTGCCTGAAATTCATATTTTATTCAGAGTACTGATCATTTTAGCTAAATCTAATTCAAATGCACGAAATATTTGTGTTCTATGTGTTTTCAATCTTGTGTCAGATTCTATTGGAATCTCCTGTAAGTTGAGTCGGCACTGTTCAAAGTTTACCGTTGCAACATTGTAATGTTTTTTTTCTCTCTACCTTCTGCAGGTACTTGATCGAACACGGCGCTCATGTGGGAGCGGTGAACAGTGAGGGAGAACTTCCTCTCGATGTGGCTACTGAGGACGCCATGGGGAGACTGCTTAAAGCAGAGATTAAAAAACAGGGTGAGAGATTCACACCCTAGAAAAAGAGAAAGATGATGGGAATTGGGATTGTAGAAAAGCAGAGAGACATCATTGGTGATCATTGTTATTATTGTTTTCATTGGTAACTAAATCTAAAACTGTTAAAAAGGTTTTCAAAAAAATATATAAATATGAATTATTATTAAAAAATAAAAATTAGATGAAAAACTCAAATTTGAAAAACTTAAACCTAAAAAAACTTAAATGAAAAAATTTAAAATTATTCCTTTGGCAAATAACTGAAATATCTTAATTTGAAGTCCTAAAATTGCAAAAACTAAAACTGAAAAAAAAAAAAAACTAAAGCTAAATAGAAATATTAAAAAAAGACAAAAGCACATAACAAGATTTCTAAAACTAAAATTAAAATATTATATTAAAATATTAAAATAAATGCTAATTCAAAATATTAATAAATACTATATAATACTAAAGAAATAACACTGGTTTGCACATATGATCAGTGCTAATTATAAACCTAATTGTTTCCAGAATGTTTTGTGCTTCATTCACTGAAGCTGCTTACAGATGTAGTCAGAAATTCATGTGATCACATTGCATTTTCTGTGTAACATTAATTTATCCTGGTGCATCAGACACAACAACAGTAAAAAACCACCTACTTGCCTGTCAATCATTCATGCTAAGCTTTACCGACTGCATAATTGTGTTTATAATCAAATAATATTCTGATCAAAATACAAAAAGTCCTTTCCCGATCCCGCCGCCCTCTCTCTCTCTCTCTCTCTCTCTCTCTCTCTTCACATCCTGTCGATCAACTTTCCTAACAAAAATAAAGGCAAAAATAAATCTTTAAAAAAAGAAAAGAAATGTAGACCTGTGTTGGTGACACATGTATACACTAATGAAGGACTTACAAATCATTAACAAATTATTAGTTTATAGTTAATTCACAGTTTATATACTGTAGTTAATACATTAATAGACTCTATACAAATAGTGAGTTCTTCAATCATTATCTCTCTCTCACTTCGCTTCCTGTCAATTCAGATCAGTCCAGTCACAATAAAGCCAAAAAATGGCAAAAAAAAATGCATCTTAAAAAAAGTGCTCAAAATAGACCTATTTTTGTACAAAATATTATTTCTTATTTTTCCTTTCAATTTCTGATATCGAACTGCGACATTTCTTTGCAAGATTCCCATTTGAACAGATACAGGTTCACATTATCTGTCTTAAACGCTCCATCTGTCTGATTGTGACCTGCTGTGTTTGATCCTATTAAAACCTTAGTCGACGCACAAGCGCTCACAGAAGCTCACTTTAGATGTGTGTGTGTGTGTGTTTGTAGGATGTTTGGTTTTAACAGTAACAGCTTGTGGATTTCCCACATCAAGAACTTAATTAGAAACACTGGAGCTGCGCAGGGATTTTATAAACTTCCTCCTGCTGCTTGTTAGATGTGATCGGCTTTGTGAATGTGGGTGTGTCTTTTGTGTCCTGAAAACGATAGTTCACCCAAAAGTGAAAATTTGCTAATTATTACTCATCCTCAGGCCATCCGAGATGTTGATGAGTTTGTTTCTTCATCAGAGAAATGCAGCATTACATCACTTTCTCAGCAATGGATGCTCTGCAGTGAATGGGTGCCGTCAGAATGAGAGTCCAAACAGCTGATAAAAACATCACAATAATCCACAAGTAATCCACACCACTCCAGTCCATCAGTTAACATCTAGTGAAGTGAAAAGATTTATGTTTATAAGAAACAAATCCATCATTTTAAGGTGTTTTAACTTCAAACTGTTGCTAAAATGCAAGTCCTCTATCCATTATATTGCTTCCTCCAGTGAAAAAGCCATCTCGTCTGAATCAGGAGAGAAATATGCACAGATGATTGATTTATTTATAAGAAAACACACAGCTTTTCACTTCACTAGATGTTAACTGATGGACTGGAGTGGTGTGGATTACTTGTGGATTATTGTGATGTTTTTATCAGCTGTTTGGACTCTCATTCTGACGGCACCCATTCACTGCAGAGGATCCATTGCTGAGCATGTGATGTAATGCTGCATTTCTCCAAATCTGATGAAGAAACAAACTCATCTATATATTGGATGGCCTGAGTGCGAGTACTTTTTCAGCAAATGTTTATTTTTGAGTGAACTATAACCCGAACAAACTGATCTGGAACAACAAAGACTCACGGTCCCTTAAATTACCTGTAATATATGTTATATACTAAATCTAAAAAAAAGGCCTGTGCCGCCTGGGAAAGCATTATAAGGCCTGAGTGCGAGTACTTTTTCAGCAAATGAGTGAACTATAACCCGAACAAACTGATCTGGAACAACAAAGACTCACGGTCCCTTAAATTACCTGTAATATATGTTATATACTAAATCTAAAAAAAAGGCCTGTGCCGCCTGGGAAAGCATTATAATTGCTGTTTTTGAATGAAATTTCAGGTATAGATGTGGACCAGGCCAGGAGAGAGGAGGAGAGAGTGCTGCTCCAGGATGCCATGGCCGTGTTGGCAGGAAGTGGCTCTCTGGTCCCTCATCCGAACACTCAGGCCACGGCGCTGCATGTCGCTGCTGCTAAAGGATACATTGAGGTGTTAAAGTGAGTGCGAGACACGTCACACTAAACACTAAATGAGTATTTAGTGTTTTTAGTCCGTTGAGACATTTTCAAGAATCATCATGCATCTGTTTTCGGGTAAAACTTTATTTTAAGGTGTCCTTGTTCCACATGTTACATGTACTTACTATTATAATAACAATTAATTATGCATAATTACATGCAAGTAATCCTAAACCTAACCATATAGTTAGTACATGTAGTTAATTAATATTACTCAGTACTTAAATGTATAATTACACTGTTACAAGGACACCATAAAATAAAGTGTAACCAAAAGTAAAGCATTTATTACACTTAATGTTAATTTTATTAGTAAATGCATCATTTACTAATGCATTATTAAAATCAAAAGTTGTATCTGTTGATATTATTTAATGGACTTGAACTAACATGGACTAACAAGGATCAGTTGCATTTTTATTACCATTAACAAATGTATTGCTCATTGTTGGTTAATGTAACACTTTATTTTAAGGACCAATTCTCACTAGATGCTTATTAGCATGCATATTATTAGCATATTGGCTGTTTATTAGTTTATTAGCTGAAGCACATATTCTGCATGACCATATTCTATATTTTTAATATAACTCCGACTGGATTCGTCTGAAAGAAGAAAGTCATATACACCTAGGATGACTTGAGGGTGAGTAATTTATGGGCTAATTTTCATTTTTGGGTGAACTAACCCTTTAAAATAAAGTGTAACCAAGCTCTCCTTTCAAAGCATTGGAGTCTTTGTGTTTCTCTGCTCGTCAGGGTGCTGCTGAAGTGTGGGATAGACGTGGACAGTCGGGACAGTGATGGCTGGACGGCTTTTCACGCGGCGGCTCACTGGGGACAGGAAGAGGCCTGCACTCTGCTGGCTGAACACATGTGTGACATGAACGCTGTCAGTAATGTGGTACGGGGGTCTATTATTACCCTAAAGGGGTTTATTTTACAACAACGACAGGCTGAGTGGACATTTATGGTGCCTACATGAAAAAATACTATAGTAATTTATAGTAAATACTACTTTATAGTGTTTTTGAACCATACTATAGTAAAGTGTATTATATTGTATATGTTATAGTATTTACAACACTTTGTTAATGAACACTACAGCATACTGGAGTATGAACTATAGTGAACTGTAATAAATACTGTAGTATACTTTAGTTTTTACTACAGTAAACTGTAGTGTATTGTAGTATAATATACCCTATAGTTGTAGAAAACCTATTACAGTATTGGGTAAAGTAATTTGTTTATATTACTATAGTTGTTATATTACCACAGCAACTATAGAATTACCACAACAAATTAATTCAAGTATTTTACTATAGTATGGTTCAAAAACACTATAGTATTTACTATAAATTACTATAGTATTTTCAAAATAAGTAAATAAATGGTTGCAAATATAAAATCTTGTAAGTAACCAGTTACAATCAAGTATTCATTGTGTATTTGCGTATCATAGGGGCAAACTCCACTCGACGTAGCCGATGAGAACATCGTTGAGAACTTGGAAGAACTGCAGAAGAAGCAGAACGCTGTAAGTTTTGCTTGCGTTTATGTCCGCTATCTTATCACCTCTTTGGTTTATGTTCAAAGAATGCTTTCACTCCGAGCAAATGAGCAGATATCTTTGCTGCACGAATGTCCAAAAAACAACAGCGTTTTTTCTGTGTGCTGTATGGAGCCAAAGTTATCAAACACACCTCCGTTTGTACTTGACAGAACTGCGTGTTCAGTATGAGGATATTTCAACGAAATGTGTGCAGTTAAGGTTGAATGCATCAGTGGTGTTTTTAATAGGAATTTACGACACGTTGTACCTTTTTTGTGATGTCAGATGATCAGCATTAATAGCCCTATTAATGCGCAAGTATGTCCTACTTTATTGCAAGTTGCTAGTTTGACGGGAGAGTAATGAGTAATTTAAAAGAATTGAATCTCACAAGGTCACAACTGAGATCATAGGATATATATATATATATATACATATACATATATTGTTATAAATATATTTTGAATATATAAATATAATAATATAAGAAATCTTTAATCTATAATAATAGATTTTGAAATATATATATATATATATTAGTGCTGTCAAACAATTAATCGTGATTAATTGCATCCAAAATAAAAGTTTTTGTTTACATAATATATGTGTGTGTACTGTGTATATTTATTATGTATATATAAATACACACACACGTATACATTTAAGAAAAATATGTTATGTTTATATATTAAATATATTTATATATAATACAAATTATATTAATATAAATATATACATGCAAATATTTTCTAAATATATACTGTATGTGTTTGTATTTATATATACATAATAAATATACACAGTACACATATTATGTAAACAAAAACTTTTATTTTGGATGCAATTAATCGTTTGACAGCACTAATATATGTATGTATGTATGTATATGTGTGTGTAAATAGGCAAATATGCTTCATTTTATTCATGCAGGATATAATTTCTTCTTTTTTATTTTGTTATAATCTATATCTTGTTATATGACTAATTATCAAAGAAGTGAATCTCACAAGGTCACAATTGAGATCATTGTTTTTCAAATAATAATAAAAAGGCAAATATGCTTCATTTTCTTCATGCAGAATATAAATTTTCTTTTATTTTGTTGTGATATATGACTTAACGTATTTTTGACAGTTCCTGTGAGATTTACCCTTATTTATGGTAAAATAAATTCATCATTGATGAATTGTATTGTGAAAATAAAACATTAATAACAATCAAATAAATAAAATACAAACAAGTACTGGAATAAATAAACAATTATTATTATTATAAAAAAAAATTTAGTATATACATAAAGAAATACAAATTTGCTTCATGCAGAATATAATTTCTTTTTTCTTTCTTTTGTGGTGATATATGACACATTCTTGACTATTTCTGTCAGGTTTACCCTTATTCATGCTAAAATAAAAAGATGAGGGATAGTTATGGTTGAATTATTTGGGAATTGATGTTGAATTATTAACAGCTGTTGTTGTTGTTTTTATCTCCTAAAGATGCGTTCAGAGAGACAGAAGATCCAGACGCCCGTCATTGAGACCAGCCCACCTGTTTCCATGGCGCCAACTCGCCCTCGCAGGTAACATCACATACGGAAACAGATTTGATTGGACTGTCCCGCTTTTAATGTATGTAGAAAACTCTTTTATAAATTTGCCAGAAAAAGTTTTAGAATTTTTATCATATGTTAATGCAAAAAAATCTTGTGTAATATAACTTGTGTTTGTTTGTTTGCTGGTTTTTATTGTTTTTTTTTAATTTACTTATATTTATTAAATTGTTTTTGCCATGAAAATAGCCTAACACCGTGTCCTAACTACACGCGACGCGACAAGATTCCAGCGGCGATCAATTTGGGTGTCCACACCAAACACGACGCGACAGAATCAATCAAATATCTCAGCCAATCAGAAGTGTGTGTGGGCGGAGCCTCTCTCGAAGCGCACTGCACTCGCAACGAAATGGATACGTTTATAAACTAATTCGTAAATATGAAACCTTTTTAACATTATTAAATGTACATACTGAGTGACTGATACCATCTTTGACATGGAATAGACTCGTTGGTTGGTTCGCAGCGAGTTCACGGTTTTAATGGCCATCTTTGCTTTAATTTATTTTCAATATCGGAGGTAAACTATCTTTTGTTGCTTCGCAGCGAGTTCACGGTTTTAATGGACATCTTTGCTTTAATTTATTTTCAATATCGGAGGTAAACTATCTTTCGTTGCTTTCAGTATGGCTATAAGGTCATGCAAAATGATATTTAAACTCATATTAGACACGTTTAACTTTGAATAAAGCACATAATCACCTGAGATTATCTACTGTCATATAGTTTGAATGTTGTTGTTCCAGCCGCGACGTCGCGGAAATAGAAACCGTTTCTAAATGAGAAATTTCGCGTGTCGCTGTCGTGGCTAGTTAGGCCAAAACCTCCGATTAACAAGGAAAAGACACCTTTTTTTCGCGTCGCAGCGTCGCGACGTGTGTAGTTAGGACACGGTGTAAGATGCTGACATGGCATTAAATAAAAATATACTACTGCTAACATCACATACGGTGTCCGATTATGCATCACTTCCTGTGTGACAAACCCCAGATTGATTCACCATCATTTCAGAGTTATTTTTCAGTACTGAAGCAAGTGAATCGTTGAATCAAAAACCGATTCATTATCGAATATTGTGAATGTTCAGTATATAGTGTTACATCACATGACTTATTCTCCGCTCTCACTGATTGGCTGATTTTCACGTCACCTACAGGACGTCCATCTCTCGTATGAGCAGTAAAGAGAAGATCACCCTGCATGAGCGAGAGAAACATGCTTCGCCCTCACTCCAGACTCCGCCCACAGAAGAGGACGAGGACGAGTCGTCGCGCACAGCCGGCCAATCCAAACCCTCCAGCAGCTCCAGTTCAGAGGAAGAGAGCGAATCAGAGAGTGACGCCGAGTCAGGTGACCAAACCCCGCCTGTTTTTGTTCTGGAAATCAAAAATCACATTAGTTAACTGGTGATTTTTTTCTGTATCTTTTCAGAAAAAGCAAAAACTCGAGAAATGATCAACAACTTGAACAACAAACGCAATGCAGCGCCCGTAGCGAGCTCTGTGACCAACACTGCACTTAACCAGGTTAAAAAGGTGACCAGAGAACTGCTAATGCTAAACTGCTGTCATTTAGAGCTTGTATATCCAAAACGATTTGGCAAATTTCTGGCTTTCGATGCAATTATTGATGCTGATTTTCTGAATCCAGCCACATTTTCTGTACAGCACAACTGTTTGACAGCTGTTTAACACATTTTCTCTAGTACAAAGTGCTAATATATACTAAAATAGTCACAAATCAATTCATATGGCCACTAACAGCCAATTCAGCAGCCAAAAATTATTATTTGAGTGGCTGATGATAATAAAATTATCACAAAAAAAACAAAACAATTATTGCTGTGACTATATTTGAAAATTGTAATGAATTTATTTGAATTTTGGAGTAAAAAATAAATTGTGAAAATATAATATAATATTTATTTTATTTTAAAATTGTTCATATATTTTTATTATTTTTACTAAAGTTTTAGTAATTTTTCATTAGTTTTTAACATGTCTGTATAGTATTTATTAATTTTTATTTCAGTTTTAGTTATTTTAGTACATCAAGTTAAACTAAATGAAAATGAGAAATGTTGCTTTGGCAACTTCCTGAAAAAAATATGTTTAGGGTTTTATTTTATTTCAAATAATGAAAATTGTTTGTTGTGTTACTTTTTAACTATAATAAACCTTGTAAGAATTATATACCTATAATAAGTCTAATATAATAGAATAGAATAGAATGCATATAACATTGATCAAAAACAGAACCATCATAACAACCCAGCCCTCATACATATTAATGTGTAAATTCACAATAATGTACAATATTTGAAAGTATTTGTAATAATATAATATAATGTGTGGTGTGCCTGTAGGCTGAACCCGTCCGGACCCCGGTGACAGAGGCTCCAGGTTCCTGGAGGACGTCTTTGCGTAAAGCAGGAAGTTCTGTGACCCTGGGCTCGGCCGGGGCCTCTGAGCCAACCACTGAGGCCCTCAAGGACCCCGAGACTAAACTGGGAATGACACGCTCTGCATCCAGTCCCAGACTGAGCTCTGAATCTGACAATAAGGTGACACACACATATACACACTGTATGGGTGTGCACAGTAATTTTATGTCACTGTAATTATATCAATAAATCTAGTTCATTTTACAATAGAAATGTTTTTCTCAATTGAAAGATGTTTTATATATTAAATAACCGTGTGATGAGGCCTATTGTTGGACAGTCCAGTGAATTAAAAAATTTACAAATTAAGGTTTTTTTTTTGTTTTTTTTTTTTTTTTTAAAAATTTCTAAGAAATTAAGTCTTTTATTCATCAAAGATGCATTAAATTGATCAAAATTGACAGTAAAGACATTTATAATGTTACAGAAGATCTCTATTTCAAATAAATGCTGTTCTTTTTAACTTTCTATTAATCGAAGAATCCTGAAAAATATTGAAAGTGCTAAAAATTGCAACAAAAAAAAAACATTTAGGAATGTTAGAAAGACTAGAGTAATGATGCTAAAAATTCAGCTTTGCATCACAGGAATAAGCTACATTTTAAAATATATTTTATATATTTTAAATGGTAGTAATATTTCATAATATTACTGTTTTAACTGTATTTGATAAATTTTTGAACCCTTTTTCTTTCAAAAACATTTGAAAGTATAAAAAAATAAATAAAATTAATATGTAACTTGGAACTAATTTCGAAAAAGCAGTAAAACTAATATTACAAAATAGATAACTGATATAAATTGCTCAAATTTTTTTAACATTTTTTTATTATATTATATTATATTGTATTGTATTGTATTATATTATACCTCAAAGTGATGTCATTTCCTGTGTTCAGGAGCCCAGGTTGGCCCGTGTTCAGCCCACTCCGTCCAGACGCCTTTTCAGCATCAGTGACACCAGCACCAACCCCGACAACTCCAGCAGGTGAGAGACACAGGAAACACAAAGACTATTTCCTGTTCTGAGAGTCTTCCAAGCTCATCCATCCTCTGTGTGTGTGTGTAGCTTGTTGAGCCGCAGCTCTTCATACACGCGCCGATTGAACAGCCAGTCCGGCGCTGAAGTGTCGGCTCCGAACCCCTCGTTACCTCGCAGCTCGTCTTATGGAAGGAAACTTGACGACCCTTCAGTGACCTCTGTAACCACGGCAACCTCTGGACTGAGTCGCCTCAGTAGTCTAGTGGCTCAGAGGTGCGTGTGTCTCCGATCGGTCGTGATTTGACCGTGTCTTTGTTGTATTCGTACGATCTGGTGTGTCTCTCGCAGGTCGGCTCAAGAAGAGGCCGAAAGGAAGGAGCCCGTCTCGAATTCTGTAACCACGACAACCACATCAGGCGAGCCAGAGACCAAACAGAGACGCAAGTGAGTGTGTGATGATTTCCACATGACAGAGTACTAATAAACCTCCATCCTGCCGGAAAAAACACCTCATACTAGCCCATGTACACCCTTTTGACCCATGTACTTTCTTAAAACACTGTGAATGATGTGTGTGTGTGTGTGTGTGTGTGTGTGTGTGTGTATATATATATATATATATATGTGTGTATGTAATTTTTTTATTATATATATATGAATTCGATCATTTAAATTTTTTTTAATATTTTTGCTGCACAAATTTTCTCTCTCTATAAAATAATAAATGACATAATTTACTTTAGATTAATTTTAGTGCTGTCAAATCGATTGATCGCATCCAAAATAAAAGATTGTGTTTACATAATATATGTGTGCGTAACACATACATGTATATATTTAAGAAATATTTACGTGTGTGTATATATATTAATATTTATATGTGATTTATATTATAAATAAATATACATTACATATATTTCTTAAAGACATGTATGTCTTTTATTTTGTATGTGATTAATCTCGATTAATTGATTTGACGGCACTAATTAATTTATATGAAATTTGTATATTTATGTTTACATGTAGAAATTTCTTTTGGCTAAAAATTTTTTATATATATATGTATTAAATAATATAAATTATTCAATTATAAATATTTATCATTTATTTTTATATTTAATAGTGTTTGCATTCAGTTTGATTTCATTTTAATTAAAATAAATGAGAAAAGTTATTTATAATTAATAATAATATAATAATCAGTTTATATATATGTAATTTAATAAAATAATAATACATTTTATTTATATTATCATATTTAATAATCAGTTTATTGTTGGATACTAGATGGTCTACCAGCTCTAAATAGCTTGATCAAGGTCCAGCAGCTGGTTGTTTAACCATCAACACCAGTTTGGTCCAGCTACAAGCTAGTTTTAGCTGTGTTATCATTGTTTTCATTGGCTGAGGCTTGCGTTTGTGTGTGTGTGTGTGTGTGTGTGTGTGTGTGTAGGTCCGTCCTATCTGACTCCAGTGCGTGACGAGGAAGCAGAAGCTCAGAGAAAAGCCCGATCCAGACATGCTCGTCAGTCCAGACGCTCCACGCAGGTCAGTCTGGCCTCGTGACTCTTAAAAATAATTTTCATTGATTGAAATAAAATAAAAACTTTTTTTTTAAAATAAAAAATATTACTTTGGCTAAATATTAATAATTAATAATATTAACTAACTGAAATAGAAAGTAATAAATTCTATAGTAGTATATCAATAATAAAGTAACACTGCTTTTCTCATTGAAACTAACCAAGATTGATCTGTTTGACGTGCAAATCAACCAAACCACAACTCTGTTTGTTTTTATGTAACATTTATTGACAGGAAAATCAGAAACCAGCGATATCACAATGATAGATCCAGCTATTGGTGCGTTCTCAGAAGTGCTGGGGGATTTTCATGTGGAATATGCATTAAACAGTCAGTGGGCGGTGCGTCTAAGGCTGTATGACCTTTAACCCTGAGCTCTGACCTTAACACAGGGCAAACGTGTGTAGAGAGGTTTTGCGTTTGTGTGCAGCTGGAGTCCAGACATCTCCGTGTGACCATTGTGTTTGCTCTTCAGGGTGTTACTCTCACAGACCTGCAGGAAGCGTAATATATTTATTTATTTTTGCGCAGGAAGTGAGCTGGCGGTCTCGTATTGCTAACCTGCAGAAGTCAGATTTGCTGGGACTCACACACCCTCCTGGTGCTCCACGTCCTGACAGACAGGGTGACCTTTCACCTTTGACCCTTATCACTGGATTTCATAATACTACACTGATGTGTTTAGTCGTGTCATTGTCTGTAACACTGTTTCTGCATTGTGTGTCAGATGCAGACAGTGAGGAGCGAGCGAGGGAGCGCAGGAGAGCCAGAGCTCGGAGGAGAGGGAAAACTGGAGAGGTGAGGAAGACGAGGACTGGAGAAGACAATGAAGACGGAAAACAAGGGGAAGGAGCAGAAGAAAGAAGAAGAGGAGAAAGAAGGGAAGCAAAAGAAGGGAGAGGAAGGGGTGAGAAAGGTTGAGTTTAATCCAAATATCTGCATTTGTTCTGCACTCGGAGAGATAAACCAGTCAGAAATGTAAAGGTTAAAGGTCAAGCGTGTCGTTTTTTTTTATGTTATAGTACTTTCTAAAACTAAACAACTGAACTGATGTCTGAAAAATAGCAGAGGAAGAGAATGAAACCTTGAGAAACCTGTTTGGAAACAGTTATTACCTGTGTGTCTGTGTGTAAATATATGCATATATTTTGTGTGGGGGGACAAAAAATAAATAAATATATATATATATATGTACACACACACACACATAGACACTGAGGAATTTAAATAATAAAACACCTTTCACCTTTGACCCTTATCACTGGAAGTCATGATACTGCATTGATGTGTTTAGTCGTGTCATTGTCTGTATACTGTTTCTGCATTGTGTGTCAGATGCAGACAGCGAGGAGCGAGCGAGGGAGCGCAGGAGAGCCAGAGCTCGGAGGAGAGGGAAAACAGGAGAGGTGAGGAAGACGAGGACTCGTGATTGAAGCAGGAGCTCAGAAATACAGCCTGCATTTAAACATTTACTTTTGTGTTTTCAGAGCGATGACAACGACCCCAGTGGAGAGGAGGAGAGTAGCAGTGGGCGGGACCCACAGGTCTGACCAATCAGCATGCACTTTTTAATTGATTGACAGTGATAGGACTTTATGAGGGAATATATATATATTTACATTACGTTAACATTTTAACTATTTATTTTAAATGTAAATGTTTACTAATGTATATACATTAGATATTTAATGCAATTATACAATTATTATTAAATGTATTAATAATAAGAAGAAATATAAATTATTATTTTAATTGTTATTTAATACTATTTACACACACACACACATATATGTATATGTGTATATATATATATATATATATGTATATGTATATATAT